ATTAAAATATTAAGCTCTGTTCTACCTTCAAAAGAAATTTTTTGGAATAAAATTTATTGCTTAATTTACCTTTATAAAGTTTTGCTCATTATTGAAAATAAAATTATATGGTAACAATTATATATATATTTATATATATATATATATATATATATATATATATATATATATTTTATTAAAACAATTATATAACTGTTATATAGTAATTTTAATTTCAATAATGAATATGTCTTTAAAACCTTCTAAATTTAAATAAAAGTAAATCCAAAAAAATTTATCAAGGTAGAACTGAGTTTTATTTTAATTCAATTTAAATAAACCAATTATTTTGAAGTTTTCGCCTATATATTGATATATATGAGAACCTTTATATATATATTAATTATATTTTAAATATATATATATTTATATATATATATATATATATATATAATTTTTATTAAAAATATATATATATATATATATATATATATATATATAATAAAACTAGGTTTCACTAAAACGATTTTAACTAGGTTAAACTGGACAGTTTACTCTGAAGATCCGTTTAAGTGAAACCTAGTTAGGTTTGCCTGACTCGTTAGGATTTATTCTACTTAGCTTATATACGTGTTAGCTTTTTTCTTTTATACTGCTTGTTTTTTTTTTTTTTCCTTGGACTAAGGATTTAAGACACTTTACGATTTGTTTCCCTTGTTCTAGAGTTTTTTCCACGGGTACCAATTTGCCTTCAGGTGTCTTACAAGATGAGTCATCCGAGGTTTTTCAAGTGAGTAATACTGTTAATATATATATATATATATATATATATATATATATATATATATATATATATATATATATATATATACAAAGTCTATTTACAATTTAAAAATTAATACAAAAATCAAATGAACAGACAAAATATGTGGAAATTGTTACAAAATGAAGAGTAGATATTGAATTTTTTTTAACTAATTTAATAAAGTTCTATCATCATTAGCTGCACGAAGCACATCAAGATGATTACCGATTTATACGATCGATGTTTTCCTCAAATGTACCTAGTCATGTGCTTCTACCTTTATCCTACGCTGTCCTTTTCTCCAAATCTTTTTGTGTCATGAGGAATAGACGGATGTGACCGTAGATTTCTGCCATACTTAGTTCTGTAGTTTCACCGAGTCTGCCTTATCGTTTTTATTTCAATAAACCATGACACACATATATGTACCTATATGTGGTGGCATGACTGTACATATACAGAGTGTCCATGAAGTCTCTTTACAATTTAAAAATATTACATTAGAAAATGAACAAATATATGAAAATTGTTACAAAATGAAGAGTAGATATTGAATTTAATACACCTCCCTATGAGCAACATTTGTTGCACGTAGCACAACAAGATCTCATTTCTTGTCATGATTGCTGTAGTATAAACTCATCAACGGTTTATCATTTAGCTTGGGTGCCTATAAGAGTTGCACTTTGTAAGCGTAAGTTCTTGTGTCGGACTTGTTGTACTGTTGAATGTGACAGATGGGCATTGCAGTTTAATGCTGAAAGGCTTGTCTTACACGATCGATGTTCTTATTCGTCTACTCCTCTATCCAACACTGTCCATGACTATCAATTTTTTATACCAGAAATGAATAGACGGTCGAAACGATATATTTCTTTCATACTTAGTTCTGTAGTTTCACTGAGTCTGTGTTATCGATTTGACTTCAATAAACCATGACACACTTTGTGCTTTTTTTTGAGACGTATCCATTTTTAGGGGTCCATTTAACAGTACCTCTTTCATCAACAGGATACCTGAAATATATAATTGCAATTTAATTAGAGATTTTGATAAGTACCGAGTACATAGAAGAAATCTGATTAAGATATTTCATAAATTGCTTTTATAATATTTTTTTTTAAATTGTAGAGACTTTATGGACACCCTGTATAACTTAAATCTATAGCATTTTTCTACAAATTTTTGCTTAGAGATAACACGTATCTTTGTTCCTGACACGATATCCTTTAACATAACAAAGAAGTCCAGAGAAGTGATATCTGATGAACGAGGTGGCCAGGGTATTGGGCCATCCCTTCCAATCCACCAACCTGGAAAAGTTAGGTGTTCATTTAATTATCAACAAGATACATGAAATACACAAAATTCGATGTGATTCAAACCTTTGATAACGACTGAGTAGATAACACAATTCTAATTAAATTATTGGAATATATCTTTTAAATTGTAAAGACACTTTATAGACACTGTATATTATCTTTAAAATTATGCATCTCTTATAAATTAATTATTATTTTTAGTGGGTACTCATGTTTCTATCCCCGGTTTTATTTCATTTTATTAAACAGTGAAATTAAGACGAACTGACCGAAATTTAGAAGCGTCACTAAAGAACAAATGTGCCTCCGATAAGAGCCAAAATTGCATACATTCTTTTCCACCAACGAAACCAAATTCGCGCTAAACTGTGCATGGGAGGATTGGCCTTGATTTGCCTATATAACGAAGGCACGTTTTCTCGTTGGGACTTCTAAGAATCTATATAAGCAAGCTTCAGTATGCTACTCAAAAAACGTAAACAACAGTAATTTTTGAAAGAATTTCTAACCCGACATTATGTTCTCACACACACACACACACACACACACACACACACACACATATATATATATATATATATATATATATATATACCAAGTAATATCAATTTGTGACTCGTAGGGATAATTCCGAGATGATATTAATCCAAAGAGAGCGTGATGTAAACTACAGAGAATAATAATAATAATAATAATAATAATAATAATAATAATAATATATATATATATATATATATATATATATATATTATTATTATTATTATTATTATTTAAAACCTAGGTAGGTTTGTCTGGCTCACTAGGTGTATCTAGGTCTGCTCTACGGTTGTATTGAGCTCTTTTGTTAGTTAGTTGTTATTCGTATCAGGGTTTTTTCTTTGGGCTTCAGACCTGCATCTGTGCGATTTTTTTTGTCGGCAGAAGTCCATGTTTGTAGCTCTTTCTTTTTTAAAACCTTTTTTCCTCGAGATTGATTTGATTAGCAAATCAAAAATTCGAGGGTTTTTCGAAACGAGTCTAGTTATCTATCTATCTATATCTATATCTATCTATATATATATATATATATATATATATATATATACCAGGTAATACCAATTACTGAGTGGTAGGGATAAATCCAAGGATGATATTAATACAAAGAGAGCGTGATGTAAACTACAGAGCACAATAATAACTCAGCATAAGAAACTTAAAGATGCATTCGGGTTATAATTTATGGGGTTATATATATATATATATATATATATATATATATATATATATATATATATATAGGTGTGATATGTTATATATTACACACATATATACATATTTGTTTTTGTGTGTCCCAAAATTAAAGAAACGACATGATCTGCCTGTTTAATTTTTTATTATATTTTTGCCAATTTTTGGTTATTGTGCTCGAAATTTTGAATAATATAACCGGAATTCATATTTTATTTTTCTTCAAGAACTTTCGATTATTGTCATAATGAAGAACCAATGTGCTGTTTGCGTTGTAGTCAGAATTCGTTTTTTTTTTTACATCCCGGTGTTCATTGGGAAGCTGGAAGTTTGTAATTATCTTCAGTGACGTCATGTGTAACGGCCAATATCGAGCCCAATGCACAAGACCTTATCTGAAAATCTCGAAAAAAAAAAAATAATAAAAAATTAATCAGGTAGACCTTGTCAGTTCGTTTTAATCAGACTTGTTTGGATCAATACTTGCTGCCTAAATATACGTCATATATACTACGAAATGCACTAAGTCGGACAATTATTTTAATAAATTTTATAGTTATACGTTATTTGTATACACCAAATATTTAAATGCTCTGTTTATAATAAACCATATTAACAACATATGAACATCCGAGAAATTTTATAGAAAATATTCGTCCGTCGACAGGAATTGAACCTGTATCCTACACAGATCGTCATATAACCTGATGTGCTACACCAGTTTAGCTATGAAGGACCGTCTAGCTAGCATGGTCGATTTTACTGCTTTTAAACTACAAACTTCCAGTGATTTACATCAAACGTTCATATCTGTTAGAGGACGCATATTTTCTATGAAATTTCCCGGACGATGGGAATCATATAGTTCAAAAGCAGTAAAATTCACCTTGCTAAACAGACGCTCCATCGTAGCTAAACTGGTATAGGACGTCTAGCTATATGATGATTCCATATAAGTTTGATTCCTGTTGGAGGAAAGCATAATTTCTATAAAATATTTTGGACTTTCAGTACAGTAAATGTTGTTAATACAGTTTATTATAAACCGAATATTTATTTAAATATTTGTATATATATATATAAATACCTATAACAATCAAATATATTAATATATATATATTCGACCTTGCTAACCGAACGCTCCTCTGTGGCCAAATCGGTTAAAGGCACGTCAAGCTAAATGACAGTTCCGTATAGGATACTGGTTCGAATCCTCTCGGAGGACGAATATTCAGGCCGGTAAATGTTGTTTAATACTGTTTATTATAAACAGAGCATTTACTTAAATATTTGTATCTATAAAAAGAATGTATAAACATAAAAATGCCTTAAAATAATTGTCGGACTTTGTCCATTTCATTATATATATATATATATATATATATATATATATATATATGCTTGCGTGTGTTTGTGTACGCATATTGGATAGTATTTACATTCGTATCACAGAAACATGGCAAAACCTACCGTTCGTTCCTCTTAAAGCCGCAGCTGTGCGTATTTTCGCCGAAACTTTTCTGATGCAGACATGCTTCAGCAGATAGCACATCAGATGGCAATTTGAATGTGTGAGCAGGACGGCTAGATGAATGGGGATGCTTATCGCGAAACTGCGGGGAGAGCGGATAGCAATTAAATATGAGTGGACAAGGCGGGGCCATCTCATGAGCGCAGCACAGAAGAACGTCCTTATTTGTTCTGTGTTCGCTTTTATTAGGGCCTCGGCAAGCGTACTTAGAGCGTAAATGTAGAAACCATTATAAGTATGTGAAGAAACTAAAACGGAAACGAAATAGAAATATAATTGGGACACGAAAAGACTGATAGTCACAAATAGAGATTTCATTTGATGAGAATACAGTTTGGGATACCCAGTGAGGATCAAACTCAGGCTTGCTACCATTACACCGCCTCAAGGTACCCAATGATTTTCTAAGCGTAGCTTAGATGTGGCACAAAGACGAAAGTATGGGGTATATATGTATGTATATGTTTGTGTGTGCGTGTTTAGGCAACATATTTTCATTCAAGCAAGTTTGGTTGAATAATCTAGGCATATTCTGTCAATTTTTATTTTAATCCCCTCTCTTATATATATATATATATATATATATATATATATATATATATATATATATATATATATTCCATTAAAATAACTCTTGAAGTTAAAAAGAACAGACAAGGTCTGTCTGTTTTATACACACACACACACACACACACACACATATATATATATATATATATGAAGGATATATAATTTTAAGGTGTGGTATAGGATAAAGTGCTCAATATCAGAGATAGAGTATGTAAATATAAAGGGAACATTGAAGTCAACACTCAGAGGCGACAGGCTTTTCCCAGCTAGACGCAATCGCCAGGCCGCCTGACGATTGCGTCTAGCATGAAACAGCCTGTCGCCTCTGAGTGTTGACTTCAATGTTCCCTATATATATATATATATATATATATATATATAGAGAGAGAGAGATAGATAGATAGATAGATAGATAGATAGATAGATGTGCAATAGGTATCACCCCATGCAGGGCAGTAAAACCAATAAAAAACAAGGGGTTACACTTACAGAGTGTAGAAAAATTAGGAACAGAAATATTAATAATGAGCAGAAAGAGAAAAGAGTAATCAGGAGGGCAGTACATAGTGATTGATATTGCATTTATTTTTTTTGCAAATTGAAGTTGGCTGAAAACCATAGAGCCGGAAGGGAGCTCCACAAGCGAGAAAAGAAACTGTTAGCATAGAACTTACGGTGACATCTAGCCAGTTCAACTCTAAATTGATGAGATCTCGACGCCAGTCGACTTCTGCGCTTAAATTCGAAACGTCTTGGTACCATAGCGAAGAGATCAGCAGAACAATTACCAGGAGAATATTCATAGAAAAGACAAAGAGGCAGTGAGAAAATGATTGAAGCCGAACTGCCAAATTAGGACCTATAATATTGCTGATTCTTCTTTTGACTTTATCAATCAGCTCAAGAGAAATAGCAAGGGCATCGGACCAAACGTAGCTGTAATATTCTAAGCATGGGCGAATTGTAGATGTATAGATATGTATGATATATTCTGGAGAGAAAAATTGTCTCACACGACACAGTGAACCAACTTTCTTAACAGCTGACATAGCAATGGATTCAATTTAGTCTTTCCACTTCATATCAGCTGAGAATGTTAATCCGAGATGGCACAACAAATCAATTTCCTGGAGGTTAGAATCAGCCATGCTGGTGGAAGGCAGACAAGGCTTCTCTCAGATGATTAACGAAGAGAATTATATACATACACAGACACACAGACACACACACACACACACACACATATATATATATATATATATATGTGTGTGTGTGTGTGTGTGTGTGTGGCTGTGATTATATCTACCAAAAGCACACGCGTAAATGCAGGTATGACACAATGCTTATATATAAAATAGAGTCAGTCTCGCAAGCCATTACTGCTGTAGTGAGGTTGATTTTAATTATATGTTCTGAACTAGTGACATATGCCAGTTTAACCTGTTTTGTAACTTGTAAAATACAACATATATTTCGGGAGAAACACACACACACACACACACACACACACACACACACACACACACACACACACACACACACACACACACACACACACACACACATATATATATATATATATATATTATTAAATGGATTGAGTCCGACCGCATCAGGGCTTTGGACTGATAATGATGACGTATGGACCCGCCAGCTTTCCTTTGTCGACAAAGATGAGGACGATAGTCCGAATAATGTAAATAATATTTTATTTGTTCATCGACATTTATATCATATGAGCGTTTTAATAATTAGATATCCCAGAAATTCCAACAATCTCTTCCTAATTTCAAATGCAATTGTTTTCTTGTATTTTTTATCATGAAATCTTCCTCCTTGCTTACAGGATCTGCCCATGGATTTATCAGCATACTTCTGTAGAACCACATCTGCGTTGACTTTTCTTAAAGAATCATTTCACAGAAAGCAATGAAATAAAGTCACTAAGACGCAAGAAGCTACAGAGTTACATTACTACTCTTGTATCACTACCAATTAATTCTCTGTTCCAGGTTAACTTACTCTTTGCCGAAAAGATTCCATGATAGATATGCATGGCTTTAGTGTTTACATACGGGAAAAAATTCCAATGGCGAGTGAATTGTCTCCTGAATCTGTAGATTATTCTTTCATGCGCTTTCGACTTTCTTTATTGCACTCTGTTAGCTATCTGTTTTTTTTTTGTTTTGTTTTGTTTACCTCTCTCCTTCTCAGAACTGTAACATATTTGGTAAAATATATGAATAAATTAAATAGTTTCCTCTTCATTTGTGAGGAAATTGTCAAGCATTCACTGACGTATAGGTGAATTGATATAGCATAACATTTCAGCACTCTTTTTTGTGTTTCTAACAAAATAATACACAACAAAGGCTGTTTGGCCAGCAGAAAGGTCGACCAGTCTATTTCGAGACGATAACGCTTTTATTGGAAAATATATTAACACAGTGGTTCTAAAACTTTTTTGCCCAATGTACCCTCTTTTGGCGATAAGTCAGAATGTCACCTCCATTTTCCGATTGTCCGACTCAAAAGGTGCATTCCAAAGAATATGCATATATTATTGAAAATCTTCATACTTTTCCATATTTTATACAATGACGTCGATTTTTTTTTTTAGAGAGGAGCCTTTGAAAATTTAACAGCAATAGAAAATGTTGATGGGTTTTTAAACTTGGATATATGTATTCTAGGCTGTTTTAATTTTAATTAATAACTAATTATTAAATACATAAACCGAAGCACACTTCACTAAACAAAAAGTTCAATAGAATTGTAATTCAATAAACAAAATTCAGTAAATAAAAACAGGGAAAAGTAAAAGATGATTCCCACCCCGAAATTGCCCCCACCCTACCCGGGTGATGCTCTCCTGGTTGAGAACACCTGTATTACAATAATCTGGAAATGATCTGGGATTAAAACCAGGACAATGGTTCAAAATATAGAAAAAAATAACTAAGCAAGGAACTTCCGTTGTATAAAAGAAAAATTGGTACCAAAACACATCCAATATCTATCTATCTATCTATCTATCTATCTATCTATCTATCTATCTATCACAGTTTATTCATATCTATCTATCTATCTATCTATCTATCTATCTATCTATCTATCTTTATCTATCTATCAAAGTATTATTCATCTATCTATCTATCTATCTATCACAGTTTATTCATATCTATCTATCTATCTATCTATCTATCACAGTTTATTCATATCTATCTATCTATCTATCTATTTATTATCTATCTATCTATCTATCTATCATCAGTTTATTCATTCATCTATCTATCTATCTTTATCTATCTATCTATCTATCATCATCTTTATTCATATCTATCTATCTATCTATCACATATTTATTCATATATATATATCTATCTATATATATATCTATCTATATATATATATATATATTTGTGTGTATATATATATATATATATATATATATATATATATATATGTGTGTGTGTGTGTGTGTGTGTGTGGGCACTCATTGACGCTTAATCAAATGTGTCATGCTAATGAAAACATCTCGGGATGAAGAGCCAGTGTATTGTGAAAGGATGCCATTTTGCGGAGGATAATTTATAGAGGTGGGGGGGGGATCCCTTCAACTTATGCTCCTATGGACCGAAATTGGCAGGGGAGAATTTCAGATTTTACAAATGCTTCACTGACCGACAGAATCAATTTGTCTTTTTTTTTTTTTTTTTTTTCCAGCTTCAGAGAAAAGATGAACAACAAAAAAAAACGGGAAGTTAAAGTCATTCTGTCGTCACCGGCAATAGATCATCACCCCCCAACACCGCTGCTTTTTGGGGCCTAGGTTTTTAACTACTGAGAGATACCTGCGTGCGAATGTATGACACACTATTTTTCAATTCGCATGTTTCGGGCAAAGAAGAAATGCAGAGAATCGGCAATCAAAAACAAAAACAAAAAAAAAAAGGTTTGGTTTCAACCAAGCATTTGACATAAATCTTATAAGACCCAACATTTGTCAGAAACCTTTGTATTTCGAAGAATCATTTTTATGCTCTTTTCAAAACCAATTTACAAGTGCTCTTTGGCTCAGAGGAAACATTTCTACCTGAAGTGATTTATCAATAATAATAATAAGATTGCAGATTGTAATGTAACTTTGAAGATTTTCAAAAATAGGAGAATATCTTGAAAGGAACCTCAAAATGGGTCAAATAGGGATATCCTCAAAAATGGGTTTCAAATGAGGATTATGTAGCCCATATAATTGTAAAGAAAAAATTGTATTCTATTTGCCCTCACACATTACGAACAGGTTTATCTATGTAAAATGTATATGATCAGAAAAATATTTGCATTTCTGACCTTGTTTCTCCGGTTGGGACAGGGAAAATAATGTGTATACACAGAAATCAAATAAAATAATAATATCTAAAATAAAATATAAAATAAAAAGTTGGATCTTGAAGTGGAAATTAAAAAAAAAGGTGACATTTGCAGCTCGGATTGATTGGAAAATGTTTTGTTTAACATATTGAAGAGATCCCAAAATGTATAAAAATTGATCAGTGGAAAATTTATGAAATGTGTGTGATCTTAGGTTGTCTATTGTTTTTTCCAAAATGTTCAGTGGAAACGGAAAAAAATGAATATACAATAGAAATCAAATAAAATAATAATAATAATAATAATAATAATAATAATAATAATAATACAAGAAAGCCAACAAGTTCAAAATAAGTGGACGAATAAATACAAGTAAGGATCTTGAAGCTGTAAATGCAACCGATCAGAAAAAAGGATGAACATACAGAATATTCATATGATGTAGACAAACCCAGTTAGTACAAGGACCTTGAAATCGAAATCCCAAAAAATGTGGCGCATGAGGACATCAATTGATTCCTGTTAAATCAAGGCCTTAAAATAGAAAAAAAATATATATTGAAGCCTAAAACCTCCCTTTATCTATGTAAAAAGATCTGCAATTTTTTTCAAAAACTTCTCACTGGAAAATATAAAAAGAAATGTACATAAAAACCAAAGAAATGACATACTACTCACAAATACAAACGAGGCTGCTACGGATGTAACGAAGGGCTTTATCTATGTAAAAAAAAAATCTTAGTATTGGATAGATTATCTTAGGTTGTCTTAAAGTCTTTAAGTTGTTTTTTTATCATCAATTTCAAACAATGTATGTCGAAAAAACTGTTTACCTCAATCATAAAAATGGAACCTATAAGTGGAAATAAACATCAATAGAAAATATTTCAAGGTGAATTATTTTGCATACAATAGAAATCAAACAGGAGAAAATAGCTCAAAAGAAAATAAACCATCTATTTTAATATGACTAAGGAATGACAATGAGCTAATAAACTAAAATAAAGACATAAATGAAATTCATTTGATAAATGTAAAGCTACAGTTTACGATTCCTCTATTAGTTTAGAAACAATAAAGAACAAGGAGAAGCAACCTAAAATGTTCAAAAGAAAATGGTGTTTAGAAGGGTACACTGAATTGAATTCTCAGAACAGAATTAAAATAACCTAATCCCAGTGGTCCAATATATTTCAACATCTTGAACTGGACTCTAAATGACATCAGACAAATGGATTCTAAAACAAGATCAGATACATCCAAAGGCTGATGTAGACCGTCTAATACCCGTAAAGAAGGTGGAAGAGGTCTTATTCAGATGAACCGTCATACAAGACAACAATATTCACTAACTTACATGGAAACAACAAATGACATACCATGAAAACAGAAAGAAAAAATATTCAATAATAAAAGCAAGCAAACAACATTTACATTTAGAGATTCTGTAGAAACAAACCCCAACTATTGCAGCAAAAAGATTGAAAAAAGAAAGCCAAGGATAAAGCCCTTGAACAGATGAAACAACGGAAGACAAACCTCTGCAAATCGAAAAATAAACTCAAAAAAGTGTGGCGCATCTGAGGAAACATTTATTCAACGCAAGACCAGAGTTTTTCACTAGTTTTCAGGCAAATATCATACATAATAATGATCCAAAATGCAGGTTCTGTGACAAATACCAAGAAACAATAGACCATCTAAAATGTTCTATACAAAAAAAAAATCGTATATAGAGTGGGGCAATCACACTGGACAATGTAAACACTTTGAAAATGCCACTAAACCTGAACATCGAAGCCGGTTTACAGAAATAGAAGATTTATTCTATGTAAAAAAAAAATCAAATAGGCACATTTTTTTCAAAACTTCTCAATTGATATGGCTGGAAAATATTTGAAAAACTATCAAAATACAAAGACCTGAAATTGAAATAGCCAAAATTTTGAAAACTGAATAATACCAGTGGTAAAGAAATTATGAAAAATGGAACAAAACAACACATTGAAACCAAAACCCCAGGAAATAAAATTGTAATAATAATAATAATAATAATAAAAAAAAAAAAAAAAAATTAACATGAAATGTGGCCATAACCCACGACCTGTTCTTTCCGCAGAACTTGCGTGTGTCCATAGCAGAAATCGAATGATGATGATAATAATAATCTGAATTTTATCGGACCTTACAATAAATACAGGCAGAATATTGAAAGCTAATTGCACTGACATCGTGATTAGAGACCGCAAACACAAGAACTCCCTCTTTATTGATATGGCAGTCCCTGCAGGCAGCAATGTAACTTTGAAGATCTTCAAAAATTACCAAAATAAAGGACCTTGAAATTGAAATTTCAAAAATGTGGCGCATGAGGACATCAACAATTCTAGTTGCAATTGGAGCCTTCGGACTTATTGGAAAATATTCCAATAGAATCATTGAAGTGATTCCTGTTAGCCCATGCCTTAAATACAAAAAAAGTGTTATCACGAATTTCAGCCCACAGCTTACGAAGGGCTTTATTTATACATAGATAAAACTCCCCGTAATATGTCAGTTGTACGAGTGAGATTCTTTTGATATCCTTTGATCTACGTTAATTCTGAACCCGCGGGGCTATACAATGTGGGGCTCAATGGATTTTCAAAATAATTTTTTTTCATCAAAATAAATTCAGCAACTGATCACCTTTTTTAAAAAACACAGCTGATCTCAAATATGACCTATAATCTGTTTTTAACTGAGGTAGATCATCGCTTGTTCATTTTAACGCCACAAAACGAAACTTATTTTTTATGTGCCATGTCCTTTCAGGACGTACGTGATCTTGGTTCTCCACTTCCCCCTGTTCCTTGTGGGGATAGGGGGGAAATTTTCGTCCTTCTGCCATTCCCCCAGATTTCGTTCTATAATACCCTTGCTTAAGCCCGCCCGGTATGTCATGTGTTGTTTTCCCTTGTCTCTCTTTCCCTCTATTCGACCCGTGAGTATCAAATTTTCCAGGCCCTCCTTTCTCATTACGTGTCCTAGAAATTCCAGCTACCTCTTTCTGATGTTCAGTATAAGCTTCCTCCTTGTTTGCATCCTCTCCAAAACCTCATCGTTGCTCACATGCTCGGTCCATGATATCCTTAGCATCCTTTTGTAGAACCACATCTCCGTTGCCTCGAGTCTCTTTTTCATTTTTGAGGAGACCATCCAACATTCGCTGCCGTAAAGGAGGACAGATGTCACGCAGCAGTTCAAATACTCTTTGTTTTTGGTACCAAAGAAATCTTCCTGTCTCGCAATACTCTGACAAGCGTTTGGAATGTGTCCTTGGCCATACTAATACATCTACAGATCTCAGTGTAGCACTTACAGTCCTCTGTCAAAACACTTCCCAGGTATTGAAATTTTCGCACCTGCTTGATTTTAGTGTCTTCGACCTGAAAATTGTATTCCGGGCTCATCTTTTTTTACTGATAACCGCACATTCTGTCTTCTTGTAGTTTATTTTTAGTCCCTTCTTGTCGCTCTCCTTTGCCACCTTATGCAGGAGGTTTTGAAAGAACCTTTATTTTACCTTACATCAGCATGGCTGATGATAAGCTCCACGAAAATGACCCATTGCATCCGCTCGGGCTAACGTGTTTGTGCTCCGGCCTAAAGTCTAGAATTAAAAGAATGTTTGATTCAGTGGAAGAGATGCTCTTAACCAAGTTTAATGAATTTCTGCGCCGAGAGGACGTAAATGAAATATCCAGGAAGTGCAATTTCTTGTTCACAGAGACTTTTATAAATTTATAAAGAAAAATTTTCTTTTCTTATTTCTTTCTTTCTAAAACACTAAATAATAAATATTTCATTATAGCTGGTGCAAATATTTTCATAATGTAAATAAAGCTTATTCTTGAAAATAAGCAATCTATAGCGGATTAGATTGAGGAATCAGAGAGCCTAGTTCGATCTCCAGTCGAATCCATTACATTCACTTACGTGCTAATTCCCTTGGGATAGGTATGAATGCTCTTCTTCTCCCCCAAGTCAGTCAGTTATGTGATATGCCTGATACACGCGTATGTGATCATGTATCTTTCGATACATGGCTAACGAGGCAGAATTTTTCCGTCAGTAGGTTGCCATTTCTTTCTGCGGTATACCAGCTGTCACCCAAGGCTTTAGAACACGGTATTTCCTGCTATTTACCCATAGCTGGGGGGAGAAGAAGATTTATACCTTTCCTAAGGGTATTAGCATGTAAGTGAATTTAATGGATTCGACTTGAATTCGAACTCGGCTCTTCGATTCCTCAATTCGACCGTACCTCCAAATATAAATTCGTCAAAAGAACGCTTAATCTTTTCTGAAATTATTGCACCTTAAATCCTTCTTCGGGTGTGATAGATCCACTTTTAAGGCTCTTCACTGAACGCGCCTAAAAATCACGAATTATGAGAATAAGCGAATAGTTTTACA